ATAAGGGTTGAAGCGCGTAGGGACCGTGCGGCGAGCAGCTACTATAGTAGGTATACCTATTGCAGCGGTGCTCGGTCTACTTACTACTTAGTGGATTAATTGGAGAGGGTCAATACAACTTTTAAAATTGTTTTAATATAGAAATAAATGTATTTTTCGATGGGTTTAAGTCAAAACAGCACAAGCGCCAATTTTTTTTTCTTAGAAGAAGGTCAATAGAGAATTTAATTCTCTATCGACCTGCAGGTACATTGTAAACTCTTGTAGAGTTTAGGGAATGTTGAGGGTAGTTAGGTAGATGTGAATGATAGGCTGGTTGTGGTTGAAAGAGAGAAAGTTTTATTCAATTAATTCCTATTTATACATAATTCTAATGTGACGTAGCAACTAGATAATTTAAACAATGTGCAAATATGCAGTTTTAACGGCGATGACCGATTAATTGGTACTGATTTTGTAGGGTCAGCACCTTTGGGTCGGTCACCGCTTCGAAATATTAAATTATTTAAATATAAAAAATTTAAATAATAAAAATTATATTAAATTAAATTAATTAATTAAATTAAAATATTAAGTATAAAATTTTGGAAAGTATAAGATATTAAATTTGTTTAATTGACGATTAAACAGTCTGCCCCCTCTCGATTGCTGGTTTGTCATCAGTTCCCTCATTTAGGTCTCCTGGATGCTGGATTATAGTGGCATTAGTTCCATCAGTTGACCCTCCTGAGGTGATGATGTGGTGGTTGTTGAAGCTCTATGGTCAGCAGACTTCCTTCGGCATCTTTGACAGAACCGGTACCCTGCGGTCAAAGTTATCATAATGATGATCAGGGTTGTTGACGTGAGGATACTGATTGGTATGGAATGATAATGAATTTTTCTCCATTGGTTCTCGTCGAGCTTTTCCTGAATGTTGTTTTCCATGGTCTGAAGATGTTCCAAGTTCTGGGAATCCCTAATCACGGATTCAATGGGCTCCATGAGATAGGAGTTGTTGGTTGTCAGTTTGAAATTTGTGAAGTTGTATGATATGGTTTTCGTGAAGGATTCTATCACTGGGATTGAATCAATCCTTCTTGGCGTCAGGATGTTGGATTTTGTTTGTATGATGCAGTCCTGGGCAATTTGGATTATATTCGTCTTGTTCAGCGTAACTTCTTCTCTCACGCCATTGCAAGTTATTGCAATTCTGGTGGGTTTGCTTGTAACTGCCATCCATGCATTAGTTGTAGAGAGTTCTTTCCATATTGTTCCAATAAGACTTCGCTGGACCAGTTTGCATTTGGTTGTCTCGAATCGTTGGTATACTTCATCAATTACACAATTAGATGCCGTTTCTATATTTTTAACTTGAACTCGTTTTCGTTCAATCCATAGTATAATTGACGGTTGTAGTCGACGTTGAGACGTTGAGAAATGGACGTCTGGTTCCCAATATGATGTGTTAGATATTTTCACAGGAATTGGGGTCACTTTCATCAAGGTGAAGTTTGTCGTTCCCACTAGTAAAAAATGAATAAATACTTGGAAAGACTCGTTTGTCGTCCTCATCGTGGTCTTTAATACAGGTTCCGTCAATATATTCAGTGTTGGGGGTAATTTTGTTCGAACATCGTTCAGGATCCTATTTACACGTATTGGTGAAATCAATTCGTGTAAGTTGCCTCTCCGGAAACGTACAGCAAGCAGCTTGGAGTAGTGGTCCAGGACTTCTGTTATAAACCCGTTGGCTACTTCATATGATGTCAGGATGTGAATGTTCAGCTTGTTTGTGTCAATGGTTTTAAACCAGCCTTTCATGTCGTTCATTGCTGATAAGGTTTGATTTAATTTTCTTCTGAACAATTCCAATTTGTTTTGTATTCTTGCTTCTGTTTCGTTAAATGAGGTTAAGGCTGACAGCATAAATTTTGTTTGGTGATGTTCAGCTTTAAGTAGTTCATCTTGGTTCTTGGTCGATGTCTTCGTATACTTCATCATTCACGCCAAATACTGAAGTAAGCAGTTTTCCCAAAATGCCTCTTTTTCGTCTTTTATGTGTTTCATCTATTACTTGCGTTGTCCACTTTAGTTCTTCGTGTAAATGATGAGATAGTGTAGAACATTGAGTGTCATATGTCATGTCCGTTGTTTTCTCGCATAGATTTTCGAAAGTTTTATAAACATTTTCGGAGGTTTCAACATTTTCTTTCATTTTGTGTCGGTTGTAGTCTATCTGTACTCTAAAAATGCCCTTTTTAATTCGCGAGTGGCCAAGATGTTCTATGTAAAGACCAGGTTTCATATTTCTCACAGTGAAATTTGCGTATACAGAAGGGCACAACATCATACAAAGCATCAGGGTTACTATTGTTGTAACTTTGGAAATGCTGGATTTTCGTTGTGTCGACTGTCTCACTTCGGCTTCTGGATCTTTGGTGTTTGGTAATGGGATTAATTGATGAATACTTCTTTTCATCGGCTGGCTATCTGATTTCTTAACTGTTGCCACTCTAACAAGGCCAGATTTGTCAGGAAAGATTTCGGTCACTTTTGCTAGCGGCCATCTGCTGGGATTCACCTGGTTGTCCTTGATGATGACAACATCTCCAATGCTGATATTATTCTCTTTGTTCTGCCATTTGTATCGTTGTTGTAAATTGTTTAAATAGTCGCTTGACCATGCGTTCCAGAAATCCCTTTTCATTTTCTGGATTGATTTCCATCGCGTCGTTAAGCTTGTGGAAAAATCATTTATTGCTGGATGATTGGGGGATATTATCTCACGTCCAATTAGGAAATGGCCTGGGGTGAGGATTTCCATGTTAGTAATGTCGTTATTTAGTGAACACAGTGGTCTTGTATTGAGGCATGCTTCTATTTGACAAAGAAGAGTGCTCAGTTCCTCGAATGTGAGTGTTGAATCTCCAATAATGCGTTTTAGGTGAAACTTCATTGACTTCACCCCTGCTTCCCATAGTCCACCAAAATGTGGTGATGCTGGTGGGATGAAGTGCCACTCGGTCTCACGTGTAATCATTGCATTTTGGAAATCGTCTTCTTGCAGCATGTTCTTACTGAAGATATTACTGGTACCAACAAAGTTGGTTCCATTGTCGCTGTACATGTGAGCAATTTTTCCACGTCTTGAGGAGAATCTTCGAAATGCGGCCAGGAAAGCTTCAGTTGTCATATCACTGACCAGTTCCAGATGTATTGCCTTTGTAGCTAAGCATATAAATACAGCGATGTATCCTTTGTAGGATTTGTATCCGCGACCTTTGCTGGCTCGAACAGAGATTGGACCAGCATAATCTACTCCAGTATGTGAGAACGGTGGTGAGGGTGTGATTCTTGGACCCGGCAGATCGCCCATCAGTTGTTTTGCTGTTTGTGCTTTATGTCGAATGCAGATTGGACATTTGTGGATCATAAAACGAATTTTGTTCTTTCCATTTATGATCCAGTACTTTTGACGTATATATGATAATACCAATGTGTTTCCTCCGTGTAGGGTTTCTTCGTGTGCATCTCTGATAATTAGTGTTGTTAGATGACTGTCGTACGGTAATATGATGGGATGTTTTTGCTCGAATGGAAGTAGACAATTTCTTAGTCGTCCTCCAACTCTAATGATACCATTTCCGTCCAAAAATGGACTTAAGTTGGCGATACGGCTGCTTTTGTTAACGCTTGTTTTGTTTTTAAGCGCTCGTAGATCATCTGTCATTGCTTTCTCTTGTACCATTTTAATAGTTTGATTTATTGTTTTTTCCATTTCTTTGGTAGTAAGTGTTCCTTTTCTTTTTTCTTTTGTTTTCTGGGAGTTCTGGATGAATCGGTGAGCATACGATATAGTTCGGATCATCCGTTTGAGAGATGAGAAGCGATCTATTATGGTAGTGTCAGTTTCCTTTTCTACGGTTACTTTAAGGCATGTCTTTTGCTCTATTTGAGTTTCTGGAATTTCATTCTTGGGCCATTTTTCTGCGGAATTTAGCCAGCCTGGTCCATTCCACCATAGTGCTGAATCCTTGATTTTTGCCGGTTCTAAACCTCTCGAGTTTATATCTGCAGGATTTTCTTCTGTTTTTACGTGTTGCCAGTGTTCTGGCGGCAATAATTGTTGTATTTCGCATGTTCTATTGGCAACAAAGGTCTTCCATCTTGTTGGATCGCCTTTTATCCAAGCGAGCGTAATCATGGAGTCTGTCCAGGCAAATTGTCTTATTTCAGTGATGCCTAGAGCAGCTACCGTTTTTTTCATTAGTTTAGCTAGTAATAGTGCAGCACATAATTCTAGCCGTGGCATTGACTGTTTGCTTCTTGCAGGTGCTATTTTTGATTTCGCGACTAGGAGCGTCACCTGACTTTTTCCAAATTTGTTAGTCGTTCTTGTATATACAACTCCTCCGTATGCCACTTCTGTTGCGTCACAAAAGCCGTGGAGTTGAATTTGATCTTTGTTTGTTGGGGAGTAGTGAATCCATCGGAAAATATGAATATCTTCGACACTTTTCAGTTGTTTATAGAAGTTATCCCATTTATCTTTTATCTTTGGATGTACTTGTTGATCCCATTCAAGATTGTTAATCCATAGTTCTTGAATAAGTAGTTTTGCTTTTACCACAACTGGCGATATCCATCCCAAGGGGTCATATAATTTTGCCACTTCGGAGAGTATTGTTCTTTTTGTTATTTTGGTTTGTTCTGTTACTTCTACTTTAAATCGGAATGTATCATCAGCAGGGGCCCAGTGTACTCCGAGCGCTTTCTTCACATCATCTTCCATTATTTCTGAGCTTTTTTGTTCTTGAAGTTCATCTGGTAGACGGGATACTAGCTCTGTTTTGTTGCTTGACCATTTTCTAAGATTGAATCCTCCAAATTGAAGCAAGGTAATGATTTTGTCTTGAAGGTGTTTGGCTGCTTCAATTGAATCACATCCGGTCATTAGATCATCTACATAGGAGTCTCGAAGAGCTACGGTTGATGCTTTCGGAAATGTTGATGCTTCGTCAATTGCCAACCTTTGCAGTGTTTTTATTGCTAGGTACGGCGCGGCTGCTGTTCCGTATGTCACGGTTGTTAAAGCATACTCTGTGATTGGTTGGTTTGTATCGAATCTCCATAATATTCGATAATAGTGTTGATTATCTTCAGATTAATGTATGTACATTTTCTCGACGTCAGCGGTAAATACTACCTTGTGTTTTCTCCATCGTAGTAAAATATCAGTCAGTTCTTCTTGAAGTCTTGGGCCAATATGCATCGTCTCGTTAAGGCTCCTTCCATTTGTGGTCTTTGATGATGCATCGAATATTACTCTTAGTTTTGTTGTTGAACTGCTTTCTCGTATGACGGGCTGATGAGGGATATAATATCTTCCTTCATTTATTTTCTCTGGTTTGACTGGCTTCATGTGACCTCGGTTAATGTATTCTTGCATAAAGTTGTTTTATTGTTCTTTTAAGTACTGGTTTGATGGCTTGTTAAGCTTCGACTTTTCGAGCTGCATTAAACGGGCTATGGCTTTTGGTTTCGAATCACCTAGATTTGGTGGATGTTCTTTAAATGGTGTATTGACTGTGTAAGTCCCATCTTTGTTTCGTTTTATAGTCTTGTTGTATTGTGCTTCGCAATCTATGTCATTCTGAGACAATGGGCGTTGTTGATAATTTGTCACCTCTTCAATGTCCCAAAATTTTGTCAGTTGTTTATCTTCTTCTACGCGGCTAACCATGCTTAAAATTTTTACTGCTGGGCTTTTTCTTATGCTGCCTGATAAAATCCATCCCAAAGTAGTTTCTTGACCAAGTAATCCATCGTTAGATCTCTCTAGGCCCTTTTGGAGATTGTGGCTAACTTCTTCTGCTCCTAGAATGGCATCAATTGGTCCAGGATGATGAAATGTCGGGTCAGCAAGTGGGTAATTCTTCCAATTGGTTGGAATTTCAAGCATCATTGGTTCGCTCGGTAGTTTTTGTGTTAAGGTTGGCAATACTATGAAATTTACTGATAGTGAGAAATTGCTCGGGAATCGGGATTGGATCTCATACTGAATTTTTGACTTGAATTGTTTTGGACTGTCTCCCAAACCAGTGACTTCTGCGGTTATTTTCTGCCGAGGATATCCCAATAGTTGAGCTGCTTCTTCTGTTATATATAAGGGCAGCCTGTGATCCTGAATCGATCAAAACTCTTAAATATTCCATGCTTCCATTTATTGCCTTGACTCGGACTAGAGCTGTGGCCAAAAGAACTGCACGTTCTTCTTGGTGTTTATTCGTTGTTGTTTGATAGTTTGTTATTTTTGTTTGACTATCTTGTTTTGATCCAAATGATTTGTTTACATATTTTTGTGGTTGTTTTTCCGTATGTAAATATGTGTGGTGCTGTTTGTTACATGTTCTGCAACTCCATTTGCTGTAGCAAGTCTCTTCCGAACTGTGACCAAGACAATTGTAGCACAGTTTCTGTGACTTGACAAATTCGTTTCGCTCTGCCACATTCATTGACAGGAATTTTGGACATCTTACTATGGCATGCGTTTGTTGGCACATGGTGCCTGATAGTGTTTTTTCCTTTGTCTTGTAGTTCACGTTGGAAGTGTTATGCGTGTTTTTGTGAAACATCGGTTTTGTGTAATTTTTTGTTGCTTCTAACGATTGGAATCTTCTTTCTAAGAAGCTCATTATCGAAGCTAGTGTTTGAACTTGGGTCGGGTTTTCTAATGATTGTTCGTAGAGCCTGTTCGTTTCTTCATCCCATTTTCGACTGATAATTCTTCCAATCAATGGACCCCATGGTTCTGTTGAAATCCCCAAATTGTCAATTGCTTTGAGACATTCATTTGTTACATCATGTAATCTTTGTAATTGTTTTGTGGATTCACCTTGAATTTTTGGAAGATCCAGGATTTGATCCACTAGTTTGCTGACTATTATTCGTGTATTTTCGTATCGTTTTTTGAGAAGTTCCCAGGCTGCTTCATAATTTCCATCGGTAATATGAAGATGTTGGATCAGTCGGCTGGCTTCTACTCGGACATGCGCTTTTAGATATTGCATTTTTTCAATGCGTGAGATTGTCTTGTTCTCATGAATGACCTTAGTAAATATGTCATGAAATGTTGCCCAGTTTTCGTATCCGCCTTTGAAGTGTGGAAGTTGTATTTTTGGTAATGAGAGGTTTGGTTTACTCTCATTGTTGCTTTCTGCTATTCTTTCTTCTAGTTTTTCCACATATTCATCATAAAGTAGTTCTATTTCTTCAAATTGTTCGTCCTGGAAGTACTGGTCAGTAAATTCGTCTTCGTGAACTATCAGCTCTTCGTGAAGTTCTTGCAGTGAACTCCACTGGCTTGACAGTTTTTTCATCAGATTTTCATATCTGTACTTTGGTTTATCTACCATAAGTTCTGTTCCTAAACTCTCTAAATTGCGTTTTAGGGAGTTTAGGCGTAGTTTTTGTTTACGGAGTCTAATAATTTGTTCGTTGTTTGATTCACTTTGTACTTCTGTTTGTTTGGCACAAGTCGATAGGTATTTTCTAGTTTCTTCTGCCTTGTTTAGTATTTGTTCATAATACTTAGTAGTAAAGTATACGTGAGAGGTACACTTCAATTCTTCTAACTTCTTGTTGTTTTCTGCACATTGTTGTACTAATTCGTCGATTTTGGCTGTCCTTTCCGTAATATATTGGGGTGTTTTTCTTATGGACGAGTCCTTTTTTGAATTTGACAATAGCTTGGAGATGGCTTGCCCAATTTCTTCTTGTTTGGCCACTATTTTGTTGGTTTCCTCCATTGTGCACAGTTAGCCTAGAGAGCCTTTTCAAGAAAAAAATATACATGATTTAAAACTCGGATTTTTGGAATACATATAAGATCTACTACTATTATCAAAAAAAAATTAAAATCTTCTATCGAGCCCTTTTCGAGAAATTGTAGAAAATGTTTTTTTTTGCTAGACGTAAAAATGACCTATTAAAATACTATATTTTATTTTATTTCTCTTGAGATGATGTTGTGAACTACAACATTTGGTTAGTTTCTAACCTATAAATATATAAAATAAACAATATCGTCAATATTTTGATTATTTTAATACTAACTGTCACACCGCACCGCTTCGCTTGCGAAGTTGGCCATATTGTAAATACAGTTCTCAAACTCAGAATTATATAAAAAAACTTTCGTATTTAAATCGTACATCACAACATTAACACCAAACTGTAAATACTAGTACCTAATTTTAATTTATGATTAAGAATAAAGAAGATATTTAACGAATACTGTACCTAAATGCTTACCAAATAAACAACTACAAATCAAAATCAGACTTAAATATGTTTACTATTAAAAGTACAAACGCTTCTAAGCAAATTGTAAAGATAATTCTTAGAATTATGGTTTAAATTATAATGTAAACTGTGCTGTTTGTAGGCATGATGGCATCGTTCTGATGCCTGTTCAGAATAATAGCCCAGTGGAGTATTCGTCATCTTAATAAATTCTGGGATATGATGAACTAACACATGCATTTTTGGTGTATATGGAATTTCTAGCTTTTCTAACTCGCACGCAAATTTTTCAATGTAAATTTCATAATTAATATCCAGTGATCCCCCAAAGCAGCTTGCAACTACTTTGTTAAAAGCTCTAAAAGCTGGAATATACTTGTTTCCTAAAAAAGTAGATAATATCGAAGTATTCATTTAAACAAATAAAATCATATCGCAACACAAGCTTGTGTTGCAAGAGAAGTTCGATTTTTTTTTGGAAGAAAAAAACAAAAAAAGGAGAGGAAATCAGTTAATATAGATATTAACCTGGACATATTTTTGCTAGGTCTTCCACAGTTTTGAGAAGTCTTCTTGCATTGTTTCCATTGAAACGCTGGTAGTGATCCAATTTAAGATTTGATTTCCTAATCCACGCTTCTGCAATGTCAGGCGTATTTCGTTTTAGGTCATCAAAAATTCTCTGCGTTATGCCCAAAAGCAAATGTAACTCTGGTGGTGGGACATATTTTAAAACTTTTGTATTTTCTTCTCCGACTATAAGAGGCTTATTTACGCAGCTTTCTAAAAATAATAAATATTAACATACAAATTTTTATCTGACCTAAAAGACTGAATACTACTTACTGTATAGTTTTGCTTTTGAAAGATTTCCACCAGTCTCATTTAGCTATAAATCATTTTGCCGCGATATGCTTTGAATGGTCCTTGGATCTGCTATATCTTTCAGATTTTTGCTACATACCTCACAATAAGGGCAAGGATATGAAGATGAATTAGATTGAAGGCCAAGTAAGATCATGATAAGTTTCATGTCAATCGCAAGTGTATATGGACAAAGGCCACAGACGGATTGCAAGTCCATAGTGTGAAGCAGAGTTTTCAGATTGTTGTAAGATTCTATTGTTTCTGGTGCAAGTCCAATTATTATGAGTTTATTGATTCCCGAGTTTTTGCCTTCATCGCGGTTATCAGACACACTATCGTCAGATAATAGATTGAGACAGACTTTCAAAGAGCCCCCGCCACCATCAACGTCAAACTTTAAGTGAAAACTATTTTCATGTACGTCTCTTTTTTTCAGCAAAAAAGCAACTAGTTGTGGTAGATTATGACAAAAAACAAAGGGTGTCGACGACTTTGTATTTTTAGTAGATTCCATATGAAACAACGTAACGCATTCAAAATACTCATCCAAACTGTGACTAAGCTCTTTTAAATTCTTTACTGCATTTGGCACCACCAAATGTTTGTCAATCTGTCTTAGATGATAGCTCAGCTTCTTTATAGTGTTTATGGGCAGTCTACAATCGATGGAAATTTTACTAAGTGTGTCTGTATCAATCACTGGCGATGTTTTTTTTGGCTACTGCCCGATTAAACTTGTACTGATAAACTAGAACCAAATCCTTTATTTAAAGTCAAATTGGAACAGTTTTGGGCAGATTCTTCTGTTTTTAAAATTTTACAGACAACCTGTTGTCGGCACGTATCTGCTAAATTAATAACGTTTGAGACTTTTTGTGTAAGTGTACAGCTCTGGGACAAGCCTTTGTGAATTTCACTTTTACATAAAGAGCATATTTTAATGGACTGTGGGATATCAATTTGGCGAATTCTTGGCCTACCGACTGAGACTTTTTCAATGGGTGGTTGCTTTCGTACCCTGTAACAATATTAAACCGGGCTGTCTCGCAAATTTGACAACAACATTTCTCTTCGTACCTCCTTAAATTTAAAATTATTGTAATTAATAATGTGCTTCAACGTTTTTCTTTTTAATTTAAAGTAGCAGGTGCCACAAAGTACTGAAGGGCTGCAGTTATTATTTTCAATATACTTAGGATGTATTTTTTTAACAAATTCTAAAACTTTCCTAGTTATATTATATTTGGTTTTCCCGACTTTAGAAAAACATACATAACATACCATTAGTTGGGCTTGTTGATGTGATATGGCGATTCGACCCATTTTAATTTTAACATTTTGTCGAGATTGTATTAACTTTTGCATTCATAAAACGCAATTAATCGCTACATAAACAAAACTTTTAACAAAATTTGACATTTAATGTCAAAAGAATATGAATTGTTTCACTAGGGACAAAAATCATGGCTTACTGTGTGTTCCTTATTGTAAATACCAAATACTGTATTTAGAACTAACGTCTTCTAGTAAAGCTAACTATTTTAAGCATTATTTGTAGGAATCTAATAATTATTGACTGCAACATGCAAAAACTTGCGAATTTGGTTTTTATTGCAAATTTAACTCATTTTTTTAAGCCAAATCTAACAAAATAGATCAAAATGTCAAATAGTTTTTAAGATACCTATACCTACCTACAATAAGTAGGTTAAGATATAGAACAAAAAGCATTTTTTGTTCTATATCTTTATATTTTTGTTTTTATTACTTTCTACATTTTTCTTTTTCGACTACAATAACCAAAACATGGGTTTTAATTGCTATTAATTTGAACTATTGCAATAAAATCGATGAGTTTAAGGCAAAACGACACAAGCGCCAAAAATTTTAAATTTGTTAGATGTACATGTAACTGCAGGTCGATAGAGAATTAAATTCTCTATCGACCTTCTTCTAAAAAAAAAACTTTGGCGCTTGTGCTGTTTTGACTTAAACCCAACAAAAAATACATTTATTTCTATATAAAAATAATTTTAAAAGTTGTATTGACCCTCTCCAATTAATCCACTAAGTAGTAGACCGAGCACCGCTGCAATAGGTATACCATGCTGCTCGCCGCACGGTCCCTACGCGCTTCAACCCTTATTTTTTTCGACTTATTCTTGGGATCCCATCTTCATATTACATCAAAATTTAGGGAATTGAAAAAGCTTTCTTTTGATATTAATTTTAAAAAAATCAAATGTGTCGCATTTCGAGAAAAAAACAAATATATTTTTAAAATCGTTTTTTTATAACTAAAAAATTTTTTCTCGCTTTCGAGACCATTTTTATCGTAAAGCGTGGAAAAAATGCTATACGATATGTTGATTATCAATTTAAAAAAAAATTATTATATACATGAATATTTCGACGTCTTTTAAGCGCACGAGAAAAAATATAAATTTTCAGGCCCCTGTATCTCTGCAACCCGCTAATCCTTTTTGCCCCCCATTTGGAAAATTAAGGTAGTCCAATAGGACAATGATTTGGCAAAGTTTTGTTAAAATCGGAGAAAACATAATTTTTAGGTGGGAACACTTGAGGTGTTTTGCCCCATATATATATATATATATATATATTAATTTTATTATAATAAATATTTATTTACAAAAAACAGAAAATTCAAAAAATCTGAGTGTAAAGTGAGAATTATGGGGGAGGAAGGTCAATATATGGTATATATATGACAATATATGTTAGAAGGGGGGCAGAGTGTCTAAAAATTATATATATTGGCATATAGTTTTTAGTCTGGTTGCCCCTCGCATGAACACTAAACTTACAAGGCGAAACTGCCAACTGAAAACAGCCGTGGGATTGGCTGGAGTAGCGGTTGAGGTAAGAAAAGATTAAAGATGGTCATCTCTTGCCGCTACGTTCTTGCCTCTTAAAGCTGAATTCATAGTTTTAAAGGTAACGGTAGAGGCAGCGTTAGAGGTAGCGGTAGCGGTAGCCGAGTTTGGCATTGCATATTATATGAAACAATTTATAGTTGTTAAAGGTAGCGGTAAGGGAGGTAGAGGCAAGAACGTAGCGGCAAGAGATGACCATCTTTTATCTTTTCTTACTTCAACCGCTACTCCAGCCAATCACACGGCAGTTTTTAGTTGGAAGTCTCGCCTTGTAAGTTTAGTTTTTATGCGAGGGGCAGCCAGACTTGATAAATTGTCAAAAATGGGCACCGTCATTTGTGTATTTAAAG